ACAGCTTGGTAAGATAAAAAACGTCTAAGATGGTCTATTCCGGGCAAAACCTGACCAAAAAAAGTCTGTAGAAGTCTCTGAAGATATCAACCTTTGCATACATTAGATATATGTGTGACTTAGATAATATGTCAAATCAAAGAACCGGAGAAAAGCTGGTAGAACTGGTCTGGGGGCTTTGGTAATGTCATGACCGAGGGCTACGTGAATTCTTCTCTAAAGATATATAAAGAAAGATTAATATCTCTAAATCTCATTGCTGTTGTTTTTTAATCCTCAAGATGAGAGAAGCCGTGAGACAATAAATGCAGACATTAAAGACACACGTTATATGTCACGTGTACTTTAACGCGTATTGATATCATTACAGACCGAGCGTTGTGTTTTGTCATTAAAAATAATCTACGCCATCGTTTACTTGGGACGTCACATATGGTAGAAAATTCTCACTTATAGATAAATATGTAGAAACGTAATTATTTACCCACAGCTATAATATTGAGGGACCTATTTTTTCTGGCGTAGACTAATCTATCTGGATGTAAAGAGGTGTTTGACGTCACGAAAGATCCCCCCCCCTCCCCCTTTCCCCTCTACATTAACTTGAAGGCAATCACTGCCCATTGCGGGAAAGGGCTTTTTATTTAGACTTTGTTTATGTCTACCTTAATGTCATTTTTCACTAGAAATACAAATTGATATTTATATAATTTCTTGAACGTTTTGAATTAATTATGGTACTCTGAAAGTTTAAAAAAATACATGTATTAAAAATATATGAAAGTAATGAAATTTTACCAAACATCTTTTTAGAATTACATAAAGTTTTAGCAGCAGTCTAAATACGGAAAACTGCCATAGAGTAATGAAGAATGCCGAGGAAAGCCGAAAAGAGCGCAAAATACCGAAATCTATCGGAACATAACGTTTTTAATGCCGAAAATACAGTAAAGTAACGAAGAACCGAGGAAAAAAATAACAAAGCGGCTTAATTTGCTCATAAATTACAGAAATTAAACACATCATTACGTTTTTAAATGCGATGTTTACCTACATTGCATAATTACTGCGTTTACTAGTATATTTTTGCTATTCCGTATGTCGTCAGATGTTCTAGTTTACTTTGAAGAAAAATAATTACACAAGCGAAAAGTCTGAGCAATTGTTGTTTAATTTACTTTCTCCAAATCGTGCCATTTGTCTTCTGTAACCTTCTCAAGACTCGGGGCTGTCTGTCTGTTATTGAACGTCAGGCGCCCTTACTAAGGTAAGAACCGTATGTATCAACTTTATTCTAGTGTTGCGCAGTAAAATTCCGACTAATCTTATTAGGACGTCTTTTCGGTTAACAATTACATTATTTCAGCGTGCATTCCGTGTTAGGAATTCATCTATAATTCACAGACTCCGAAATGAAATTTTCTTTTTACCGCGTTTTCATACAGTGAGGCTATGAATAATTTATTGACGAACGTCCGTGCTGATATCGTTATAGTCTATGTTAAAAGTTGTATGTTAGATAATTTATTCTTTCAGTTGTTTGAACTTAAGTTAAACAAAATAAAACCTTCATCACGATCCGAACATCAGTTTTATTGATAAACAGAAAGAAAACAGTAAGATTTCCTTGCTGAATATTTCATGTAATTCTTTATAATGCCTCTATGACGTGAGATAAGAATCAAAGACGATCAGACATTGACATAAACTTTGAGCAAAGTAACAGATTTATTTCCATGCCACTTGAATATTTACGCTCACTTCTGATTTAACATATGGGTGAATTTAATTTTTTGTTCCTCACTCACCGAAAATATGTCAATATTATTTTTTTTAGAATCAGATAAAACACAGAGGCTCTTAAAGATAATAAGTTATTTTGTTTTTTTTTTCACTTTCACGTTTTTAAGAAATTTATCGTCAGGTTTTCGAGCTTTCTGCTTTCTTAACACTTCAACATCTGTCTTGTGTCGTGTATATATAAAGACCAATTAAGTCTAATTTCCACAATCAATTGTTATATAATTATCGACGCTCTGTCAAGAAAGTCATCTTTGTTTATATAAAAGAGTGCGGCAAGCTTTGATGATAACTTTGTTAAATTTTGAATGTATTTAGCCATACGTATGATTAAATTAGTGTAAATAATTAATGAAAATAAAAGCTATGATTTAGCAACGGTATGACACCTCGTGGTTTAAATTAATAACATGAAAGCTATTGAATTATCTCCCTTCCGATGACGGCGGTTACAACATTATTAAAGATCCTTTAACACATTTTTTTATGGTTTTATATCATAAATATGATACTCATATTAAGATTTATCTATTTTGTAAGTTCGAAAAAGCATAATTTATAAAGATATTACCGAAATGGATTCTGCGCCATTCTCTAATTATCTAAAATGCGCTATATATTCTTACTTTTCTAGTATTTTTTTTATGAAAATATAAAAGTCGAGGTAACGTGGAATGGTGACGAACTTGTTGTTTATTCATTAAAATAGTATTTTTTTCTCTTGGAATGAAATATATTTTTTTATTCATTTCATTTAAAATTATATACATGTATACGAAAAGTATATGACCAAAAAAAGAGAAAAATTTCGTTGGTATGATGGTATGATTAGATCTTATTGTATGTGATAAAATATCCCATTCATTTATTTATTGACAGAATAGCGTATAGAAGAATTAATCACCGTAGGTATAAACATTTCATTTCACATTGAAGACTACCCCGGTGCACAAAACAGTTAACAAAATGCTCCATTCAACTAACATTGTGTATGTGGCTCTTACATTTATCTCATTGTCCACCATTGTGTTATACGAAATGTAGGGCCAATAAATTTCAATGAAATTCAATTGTCGATAATAAATAGTCTCTCTTTTTATAAACATCTTTTTTTCGCATCTCATTTTTTTTCTTTGATACCCGCTTTATTTATTCTTTCAAATATATTTTTTGTATTGAACGTATGATAAAAAGAACTTGTCACGACACGTTTGCTATATTTCCATGGGTAAAAGTTTTTTTCAACAAATGAAGGCTAGATTAAAGTGATGATGTGTGAATTCGTGTTTTATATTATAACCAAACGACATCTTTTAAAAAAATGTATTTTAATATTTTCTTCATTTTACCAATTATCAATTTGTTTCTATTTAATTCTTAATTGGCCAAAATGCAGTGTATCAGTGAATGTTATGTCATTTCCGGTTCTCGTGCATGGAACAGTGAATTTTATGTCATTTCCGGTTGCTGTTCAGGCTATAGTGAGTTTTATGTCATTTCCGGTTCCTTTGCAGGAAATACAATCTCCAACGCAGTGATCTCCCCTTAATCAGTACATAGATCTCTGCCACCAGACACATTTTTAACAATATTTTGGAGTAGTCGACATTTCTAAATATTGTGTCATTCTTTGTTGTTGCTGATGTTTTTGCTGTTGTTGTTTTATTCCATAATGTTGTCAAAACATGTATTGTTTCTAATTTTACCAACTATATGTATACTTTGAGGACAAATGAAGAGTCATGGCCATTAGATTAACCCTTACAATAAAGTTGTTGTAAAGTGCAGTATTGCATATCCTGAATAATGTTCAGAATGTTCAAAATAAAATAAGGTAGTTTAATTGTATTTAAATGTGTCATCAAAAATCTAATACTAGTATCGGTAGTACTATCTATACTTAAGTTAAACAAAGTTAAAATGTCTCGAATTTACATAATATACGTTAATGATGTGGTTGGCATGTAAAAACTCGTGCTTGATATTATAATAAATACATAAACATAAAATAAGTGTAAAAAGATTTAATTAAGTATGTAATGATGTTCATCATCTCAACCTAATCATGTGACCAATCTTTCACCCTCCCTCCCACGTCATGTGACCTTACTCATTATAATTCATTATAAACATTCAATATATAGAAATTTATACATCTTATGGAGATATTATATATTCTAAAATGCTCCAAACTACCAATCGCAACTTTTCGGCCCTTTCCGACAGTCTCCGGATGAGGTTATTATGAATAATAGTCGAGTTGTTTCTACTGCCAAACTACTGGTGGGTTTGGGTGCCAAGGGAGACAACTTTGTTAGTTATGTGAAAGGTTATACCATCGGATATTACAACATTGCCAAATGAAACATTGGTATTTTAATATCATACCAAGATTGTCAACGACATTTAACTTTATTCGATATGTCACCATCAACCCTGCATTTCTTATATAAAAAGAATTTTCTAATAAAATTTAAATCAGTTTTAATCGGAATTATCTCCTCTTTTTTCATTAAAAAAAAGCAGAATATGCACTGCAAGCATGTTGTCAAATATTCGGGTGGATCGGCATTAAAGAGAGATAACAAAAAATATGTGTCAGTTTTCGAACACTTACGAAACACTATGTTTGCTATACTATAATTAAATTTGTGTAAAACATATCTTAATTAGATTTATTTTAGAAGTTTTTTTTCTGTTTGTTTTAATATTGATTTAATACCTGTTGATCATTATTTCAGTTGTCTTTTAGTGGACTGTACCTAACAAGTGTTTCTCCACTAATATCTTCCAACTTCTTCTAACACATAGTTTAAGTTTAACGACAAATTATCAAAAAGATAATTGCCGTTTACTAAACTGTCATGAAAACAACTTAAGCACGAGGTCACAAGAGCTTTGACTTCGTACCAATTTGCCGTCAATTCCAATTTATATTTTCCGTTTTTTAGACCGGAGAAACTCGTATATTTATTTGTCCGGCCTTTTACATGAGGTACGTCAAACGTAAAAGATAGATATATACATTGAACACGATGATTTAAACTACCGTTAGAAGGCGACAAAGAAAAGTGTAAAACAGTTTTTATTGCTTTCAAACTTGACGTTCCGCATTATTGAATATTTTATTTAGTTTTCCCCCATTTACTTTACACATAAAACGGTAAATATATACACTACAGTCATTCAAATTCACTCGATCAAAAACAGATATAAAAGAAATTTTAGTGTAGATGATGATTTTTTTATGTAACGGTAGCCGTAAGCTCTCTTTTATACCAAAAACCCACAATAATCCGTTAAATTCTAAAGATTTAAATTTAATTCTGTACTGCACTATATAAATATTGACCTGTTGTATTTAAGTTAGAGTATTTCGTTATTAAGCCGTAGAGGAAAAGCGGTTTTTGTATAGGACGCGAACTTTTCTTTTCTATATCACATACAAGAACACATACGGTAAATTAAAAAAATAACGCTACTTTGGAAAAATAGACTGGAATACATATGGGAGGAGCAATCGAGCGTGAGAACCAATCAGATTTCGTGATTCATTAATTCATGGCATATGTCAATGGGGGAAAATGGACTAATTTGAATAACATAACGAAAGAATCGAGAGAGTTTCGGTATTATCGAAAAAGCTTACAGTGAACCACTTGGAAAATATTCACTATCTCTGTAAAGCATGGGACTTAAAGGAACTTTGTGACTTAGTGTTTTCCTTTTCTGAAACAACCCAACGTCTTTCAATCACACGCGCACGCACGCACGAACGGAAATATATACACTTCTGTATTATTCGTTTATTAAACAGCACGTGTATTTTACGACACTTTGGATATATTTATTCATATTTTACTTAAGATATGATATAATATTTTATCTGGGACGTCTATGAAGTAGTATCGATAAAGTTATAAGGTTTTTGTTGAAATATTTGAATATTTTTCCCATTCCACCGAGATAAACAAAGCTTTGAAATCAATTAAGTGAAATAAACATTGATCGGTGTCAGAAGGCTCTGTGGTTCTGACGAATAAAAATAAGACATTTCGACAGCTGAAATAGACATCGTTTTGTGTATATTTCATATACATGTACATCGTTGAATTCAGTGTATAAATACGAAAAGAAAAAGAAGCAAAAAAAACTAGAAATTTTCCGAGCAGTGTGCACTTGATCTTGGGATGGTTCGTGAAGATTAATTTTTATCAAAAGCGTATCAGATAAGTTTATACATATACACAAGGAGAGTTGATTGAAGATACTATACTATAGTGAACGATAAAGTTTTACCAAAAGGATGTTAAAATAGTGATTACCCGATATTTTTGAGGATACATTTTTGAAGAAGAACTGTATAAGATCATAGCGATCTGTGATTGTTTTAACTCCATCATTTCTTTGATAAGATAGCTTCAATTTCTAGGAAATTTTCTATTGCATGCAAGGATCGCATTCTATCAGATCGATTTTCCCTGTACGTTTATAAAGTGTGTAATTTGGAAAAGAAGAAGAGACGAAATAGTCGAGGTTTTTTTTATATTTATAAAAAAAAAAAAAACCTTTCTTGTATATTACACGAGATAAAAATTTTCGATGAATACTTCGGAACAGTACACCATCGACCCAATCATGTATAACGGCGATATTAAATCGCCGCCAGCCAGCAGCGAAGGTTCGAGTCTCAACAGTGAGACCACGATTGCCCTTAGCCAGAGCATGGATTCCGTGAACACCACACCTGAGGATGAGGTAAGCAAATATGACAGATAAATGCTTTTATTCCTCCAAATTTGAAGAGTACAATGTTTATAATAAATAATGACGTATATACAAAATAAATCTACTAAAAAAAGGTCAAAGACCTGTGTAATGTGTATGTTATATATTACGTTATTAATACGTTGTACGTTATTGATACGTTATTACGTTACTACATGAGGTGTGTGTTTAACCCATTGAAGTAGAGGCGTTACTTTATTTTTAATTTACATTGTCATCGAACCTTACTTCATTTACACATTGTGGCTTTCTTTCTTTTTACTATTTTATGTTGTACATTGTCAAAGCACGTCAGATTATTTTTGAGCTATGCTTTTATATTGGTCAGTAACTATACCAAAGAGCTTTGAACATTACATCGGGACAGTACTACACATTCGTTTCTATACTATGTTTTGTGTTTTTGGGAGAGTTAAGACGAAAAAGGGAAATTATATATCATATAAATGACAAAAACTGGTTTAAATAATGCACAAATTCATCCCCTGATTTTAAAACCCAACATCAATTTAAAATCATAACAAGTCAAAATAGATATGTGTGGTTAACCAGATTATTATACATGTATATATAGTATACATGAGACTGTTGTAGAATTTACAAATCGGTCGTAATGGTTGTGTTTAGATATTTCAAGTTCATAAAAATGATAAATTGATTTCTATAGCGCTCAATCGACATTCATAATCTAGTGAGTGTTATCTGCCGTATTTAGTTAAACATTTAAAGCTGTACTTCACAGAGTATGATATCCAAATTGTCATTATAAATACCCAGATTTACCTTATATAACTATACATGCGGAGAAATTAAACACCGTCTTCTTATATATAATACCGACATGAAAATGGTATGAAATAGGCATAAAGTGTTAATTAAAGAATTAATTTATACAAATTGATATCGGTCTATTTGGTCATGTATGTAATAAGAGTGACTTTTTAAACAAGTATAATACGTTTGTAAATTGATACTTTAAGTTAAAGGTGAGAATGTCTATAAGCTAGACAATTCAATAAGTTTAAAAAATGGGGGGAAGAAATGAAAATTTTAAGCAGTCAACATAATATTGTATGCAAATTGCGGTGGTTTTAAGGTACAGAAATAAAAGGAATGAAATTATCACAATAAAAAATGTACCAGTGGTAAAAGTTGGTGTTTAATATTGATGGTGAATGCTGTTTTAATGAGACATTGTTTAAAAACCATTTTGTATGAAAGTGGAAAATGATTGATCTATTCAACCCATTGACAGATGTATATATATATATATATAAAACACGTGCGTAAAATCGTATATATATACATGTATATATACACACACACAGAACGTTTAATTTCCATATTAAACGTGCTGGGGGTGTTATAAACTTTTAACTTGTTAAAACACTTTAAATATAAAAAAAAATGAAAATCAATATTAATGTCTACAAGAATGGGCCAATATTTAGTCGATATTACAAATTCTTCAGGAGGGGGTAAAATATTGAATATCTCTTCAATAATGCTCGCCGTGCTCCGTTTTTTTTTCTTTCTTTATGAAAAGTAAAATTGACATGAACATTGTGTTTTTTTGTGTTTTATTTAGAGATTATTGACTCGAGATTTTATCTCGTAATACTCCGCTATATATTAAAATATAGTTTGTAACGTAGCGAGAAGAAATTCCCCCTCCTCCCCCCCCCCCAAAAAAAAAAGGGTCTGTGCTGTATTTATAAATTGGTTATATAAACATTTCTGGCAGGTTATATAATCGTGATGGTCGTGTTTAAATTGTTACTTGCAATATAATCCTCGTCCATCAACTCAGGTTATATAACCTTACATTTGTCTATTCGAATCCATATAACATGTCGAAACCAATATAACCTTTCAAAACCCATATAACCTGTCAAAACCCATATAACCAGTCAAAACCACTATAGCCTGTCAAAAAATCTTCCAAAGTAATTACATATACTATAAAATTATCTTAACTGTTAAATAAATGTTTTAATTACATGGAATAATTTGCGATATGAATAATTCGCTACAGTTCTCATCTCTCGTCTGTTAATTACCTATATTTACATTAAATGCAAGGATTTGAATTTATTGTCATTAAAATCGCTAAGCGTGCTATTTAAATGCTGTCAAATTGTGCATGTTTTATGTCAATAAATCTACATACTTAGGACTTTAAAAGAATAATATGTTAAATGTTTTTTGTTTCATACATCACATAATTATGATAGTTGAAGAACTATAGCCATATCCCCTGGAAGAAAACTCTTTAAAATATGCGTCACTTTATGTATGTCGAACAAAAAGTAGAACACGTTTGTTTAAAAGCAAGACCCACTCCCTTTTAAAAAAAATCTTCAATTATTGATAGGGCCCTTATTAATAAATATCATGAAGTTGACTTGGAAAAACTGGACCATTTATTCTGTGTGTATAGGGCTCCGTTTTCAAGGGTGATAGCACGTCATTCTTCGTCATTTTCCGTATATATATAAAGATATGTTATAGAATAATTTTGCTGACACTGAAAAGATTCTTCGTTGCTAAAAGCGTTTTCATCGTTGTTCATTGTCACAGCGACGCTTATTCCTTTTCGTGATACACGAAAAATATCGAAATTGGCCGAGTTTTAACGAAGCAGATATTTTATCGGAATACCCAATATTAAAATATTTCTTGTACGGAATTTAGTTATTTATTTGATTTAACCTTGAAATAAGAAAACAATTTACCCTACAAAATACCAAAAACATTGTTTTTACATTAAAATGTCTGTACTGTATAGTAAATCATGAAAATTAAGGCCATTGTATTATACTTGTATATTTATTAAGATTTCAATTGATCTAATTGGTTAGATTTTTATCGACAATATGATAAAAGTTTGGTGCAATTTTCTTTCAATTACAAACCTTTTGTTGGGAAACCATTACTAAAATTTAGAGGAATAATTTTCCTCTAAACTTACGCGAGTTTTTGCGACTCTACACTTGTTACTTTAACCCCGGGTCCACGTTTTTCTTCATTGAAACGTGATAATGGTTGTAGCACTGATTCAATAAAAGCGGTATAATTGAACTGTCCCACATATGGTGTTCGTATTGTGAATACTGAAATTATTTGACTAGAAGCAATTTTTTAACATAATGCCAATTTGCACCTTTTTTTAAAAAAATTGAAAATATTTTCATCGGTTGAATTAGTTCAGAAGTTACGTTATAAATTATTTGAAAACTGACCGAAAAAAACTGGAAAAGAAAAAATCTAGGATTAAGGTGATTTATAAACGATTTCTCTGTCAGTGTTAAAGGCCTATGAATATCAGACATGAGTGCTATCCTTTACGGACAGTTTGAGAGAGAAATCAGAAAATATGTCATTTTATCTGTACTGTATGACTTTGTTTTTGTAGGCTTCAACTCCTCCAGTCCGATTCACTTGTTCTAATATAAGACTAGCTGTATTCGTAAACCGACAGACCACTCGAGTGTTTTTAATTGTTGCTTCCTTTATAGATATTTAGTGAACGCATGTTGCATGTTGCGTTCGCAAGTTCGAGTCTCACACATTGCACGTGCATTTCCATGACTACATACATGACGTGATTATACATGACATCATTTGTTCTTTAATCATTAATTTATTTTACATACAAGAAACTTTGCACGAAGAAGTTTGCAACATAGCAAATTTGGTTCTTAAGTGAGCTAAGATGCAATAAGGGCCATTTCTTGTATTTTATAAAGGTCTCAAGTAGTGCGGCCATTCCACTGTTTATTAACTTGGTTTAATTCACTTTTGAAAAAAAACATGCACTCTTTTGTCTTCCATAATTTCACGAACGCTTCTGAAGCTCTTTGTTTACCTGGTTTTTATTAATTTACCGGATAAAAGACATGAAAATAAATATTTATGGTATGTACTTGGATATACTGATAAGCCATATTCTGGCTGGGCGAATTATTGAATGTGTTAATGATATTGTTTGATTGAAGAACGTGTAGTAAGGAACGAACAAAATGTGGCCAGCTGACAGAACCTATCAGTAAATGCCTGATTATAGAATTCTAGCGAATGAGTACAATTATACTATTGTCAGAACCCCCCCCCCCCCCTCTCTCCCCCCCACCCACTCCCCCACTTAACTTTTTCTGATAGTATTGTGTTCCAAAAAGTAGTTCGTAGTTCGGATCCCTTTTTATGTCTCAATTGCCGACAAGTTAACTTTTAAATGTAACATATACCTGGAATTTCAAAAGCATTTTGGTTCAGTTAAGTTCAAATCCTATATACCTGAAACTCACCAGAGTTGTTGAGATACAAAATCTTGATAAAGATGTAATAACAATAAACATATGATAGAAAACTTGATAAAAAAATCAGATGTTCCAAGAATACATATAATGATGGTATCTTTCCGGGATGACACTGTCGCAGAAAATATCAGAAACGTGTAAATTAGAGATTTTGCTGTTTATTCTATCAAAAAGCAGAGATACTTCGTCAATTTTGCCATTAATTGTTACGAAGTACGGTTATCCGGGCGGGCAGAACCGTTCTGTTTCCGGAATTGTTTCAAAGCGTTCAGTTGATCAAGATCAACTATCTTATCATAGGGGGGATATATATATAGATTATAATGTCTTTTACTGCTTACTGATCGTTTATATTTTGAATGTTGCTAGGTTTTTGAACCCTTGAATATATAAAAATACGCTTTGTATAAATGTATAGGTATTTCCTATAGTAAATGGTCGTTATACCATGTTGAATACTTCCTCTATATAAAAATTATTGAAGACATTTTTGTATAAAAATTGTTTTGTATTAAAAATGCACATATGCAATTTTTAGTCTGAAAATAAAAAGGAAAAATAGGCAAGAATCAACAGTACATAGCCACTCCGTAACCGTAAAGATGTAACTCTTATATTTTTGATTGACAGTTGCGCGTGCCAGCACAGCGA